TGAAACAAAAGTTAATATTAGAGCATCAAATTTTCAGATATTTTGGAAGGGTCTCTTGAGGATATCTAAAGGCCAGAGAGGGTTTAACTCAATGGATGTGATGGAAAAATGGTGAAAGGGCAGAGGATCAGCATGAGAAATGATGTAGAGGCAGGTATGTGAACACTTCCTTGCAGATTAATAAATAGCATGTTTGCCTAACTGAGTCAGACCTAAGTTACCTTTGTACAAACCAATGAGAAGGCTGCCGGACTCTATCTGTACCTTACCTTTTCTGAACTCCCACTGCTCCATTCAGGAGTGACTGTACATTAGAAGGAAATGGGGACCACACAAGGCTAACATTTTGCTGAAGGAATTTACTTTCCTAGGCTTGGTGCTATACCCTCAAAGGACCACTTTGCATACTTTCACTTAAGCATCAGACATTCAAAGGGGCTCTAATTGTTCCACATCGTGTCAATGCTGAAGTTAGGTTTTGATGACTATTATCTATAATAATGTTAATATTTAACACATTTGCGCTAAGACAAAATTTTTTGGGTTGCATTTTAGGAAATCCTGGGTCTCAGACTGTGCCATCTGTTCAAGACAATGTGTAATCCCATTGTTTTGGGGTATTTGGGTCTCCCTCTGGCTATCTCTTGAATTAGAGCCCATCTGGATGTCAACTCACTTTCGGAAAAAGAGTAAATATGGTGATGGTTAATACTGAGTTTCAACCTGATTGAATTGAAAGATACAAAGTATTGATCCTGGGTGTGTCTTTGAGGGTGTTGCCAAAGGAGATTAACATTTGAGTCAGTGGGCTGGGGAAGGTAGACCCACCCTTAATCTCATGGGCACAATCTAATCAGTTGTAAGTGGGGATAGATTATAAGCAGGCAGAAAAATATGACAAGAGAGATTGGCCTAGTCTCCAAGCCTACATTTTTGTTCTGTCTGGATGCTTCCTGCCCTCAAATATCAGACCCCAAGTTCTTCAGTTTTGGAACTCCGACTGGCTCTCCTTGAACTCCTATATATATACATGTATATATATCCCATTAGTTCTGTCCCTCTAGAGAACCCTGAATGATACAAATACCAAAGTGCTGGGTCAAATTATTTATCTGGTATGGTGTCCACCAACCAGTCTTGCCTATTCTGCTATAGATATTCTAAAGCTAAAATGTGGACTTTTGTGTTCTTTCTTTGTGTTAGCAGTTGATGAAGGACAGAACTAAGAAACAAAAGCAAGTAACTTTGTTAAAACAAATTCAACTCATTGAATTTGTCATTTTCAGTAATATAAAAAAGATATTTTGATTCAGAACCTTTAAGAAATATAATAACCACTATCTAAAAACAATAAAAGAAAGAAAATGATCTCAGTCAAGAGCAAAGGAACTTGGTGATTTTTTAGCCTATCATTGATGAGTGTTACTGATGACAGCTGGAAGTAGGCAAGTGGGAGTTATTCTAAAGGTGTGAATCAGGGAGAAAAATGGTTCAGTAAGACTAAAACACAAAATCTTGACTAATCAGGATTGGCTAATGGTTTTAGAAAAACTTTTGTTGTAAAGTGTGAAGGCTTCCAAGAGCTTTTTGCCAGTATACAGCTAAGAGATAAAGCTGCTCAATCCTCTGGGCACTAGGAAGGACCCGAGAAAGCAGTGTTAAATTCATCAAGGAGATTTTTCTTTAAGGCTTCGGTTTGGGCTAAAAGCCATGTATTCTTGGGATATATCACGCTAAACTGACATCGACCATGTTTACTTTGAAGTGACAAAAGAATGTAACAGCAGGTTTTATAAAAGAGAAACAGAACTAGGAAGGTGAGAGTCTTTGGTTCTGGAAACCTGAAATAGATGGAGAAGGAACCAGATTGGAAGAAAGATGGAACATTAGAAACAATGATAGGGCATGGCTTATTACTGCATCCCAGTAACTGATGTGGGAGGGCTCACTGACAATGGGATGCCTGCAAGGTTAAGAGAAATTTTATGGATTTCACATGTGTCTGGGCTACACTGTCTACCCCAGATGTGGCCACCAAAGCTGACAAATCCTTCCTTTTATTTGTCTTCTTCCACCCCTTAAGAATTGGCAAAAATTAGTTATGAAGATTTAAGACATTGAGATTTATCCTGTGGCATAAAATGACAGGATTGCCTCCCAGGAAATGCAGAATGAGGCTGGGATGTGCTTTTTTTTTTAAATTTACTAAGTCAGCATTTGCCTAATGTTCCATATTTTTTCTGAAAAACATTGAGAAAATCTGACCATCAACATATCAAAACTCCTTAACATTTCTTTCAAGTATTATGCAGCACAGATGTGTACCATCCTTTCCATGCCATGTCACCTTGCTATTTTATTTTCCATCACACTAAAACTTGGGGACAGGGAGACAGCCAGAAAGGGAAACACAGAGGGGGCAATGTAATCATATGAGATAATGAATAGGCATAGGGATATGAGAGAGACTGAAAAAAATGTATAATGGCTACTCTAGAAATCAAGAAGGAAGGCCTTGGTACTAATACCAAGAGATCCATTAAAACTGTGTCTCATATGATCTTCTCTAGCTTTGCCAATAATGAAGAAAGGCAAAAGGAAAAGCATGGCCTCACCTGCCATCTTCACCTTCGTCTAGGCATTTGCTCCATCTGGCACTGCAAACACTCCACAGTAGGGCCTGGCCTGTCTTTGTAGTCTGTACTTGTTCTTGTGTTTGACAAGCTCTAGGCTGCTCTCCATTGCTCACGTCATCCCTGCTTATAAAACACCCTTCCCTCTCATCTCTACTTTCCTCCATTCTATTCTTTACCATGAACCACAGAAGGTTCCTCCTTGGTGAAACTCTCACTGCCCCTTCCAATGAAACATGATGTCTTCTTTCTCTGAATAACCAGAAATGTTTGTTCAGACCATACTTCTAACACTTAACATATTCTGTCTTATTTGATCCAAAAATGTTTATGGAACACACTATGTGCCAAACTCTCTTTTAGATGCTATTCCTTGCCTTAAAGAAATTTAAGATTATTTGTATCCAGTGTTCCTAAAAGTTCTTTAAAAGAGAGGTAATTTCATTCCTTTTAAGTCTTCTGCCTACCCACTGAACATAGAAGGAGTTAGTAAGTCTGTCAAATCCAGTGGAATATAATTCCAATAGCAAATGTTCTTCCCTTGAATTACTGTGTTCTGTAAGATTAGTCCTTGTTCCTACAAGTATATTAGTTCCCTGCCTCTAGCAGAGAGTTTCTTTCTTTCTCAGGAAAGTAAATGCATAAGAGATATGCTGGGGATGTTAAGAAAGCCCTTCTGGCTGGAGCACTTTTGTAAAGGTCCAGGAATTTCCAAGGTTTTGTGAACCTCCTAATATACCATGTTTTGTCTTGTTTTTCATATATTCTCTAAGGCATCAGCAAATGCCCAGTGTTGAAAAATGTATCAAAGAGAAATTGTTCTTAGTTCTGAGGGGAAAGCTACTGGATTGCAGAGTTGTCATCTGACTGCTCTCAGGAGTTTCTCTGGAGTATCACCTTCCAGACGGAAGAATTCCAGTCTACCCTGGCCAGTAAAAATGCAGTGAGAGCCATGAGCTGATGGGATCTCAGGGAAAACATAGACCCTTTTAACATGTTCACGTTTGAAGTCTTGGTTTTGGGGATTGTGCCATAAAAGCTCAATGAGTAATACATGAATGGATCAAAGGATAACAAAGTACAAGTTGGGCAAGCAGTCGCAAGATTATGCTGGAACAAAATTAACTACAACACAGCCAGTTTGGCCTGTTCCTGGCTTCTCCACAATGTTGAAATTTGCTGATATTGTTCAATGCACCACCATCTTCACAGTGTGTCTGTCTTCTCTCTAGAAGTTTGCCATGAATGAGGGGACTTCATCTTTTTTTTGTTTTTAATTAGCCATATAGTCCTTTTTTATTTATTTTGAGATGAAGTCTCACTCTGTCACCCAGGCCAGAGTGCAGTGGCGTGATCTCGGCTCATTGCAATTCTCATGCCTCAGCCTCCCAAGTAGCTGGGATTACAGGCATGTGCCACAGCAACCAGCTAATTTTCCTGTATTTTTAGTAGAGATGGGGTTTCACCATGTTGGCCAGGCTGGTCTCAAACTCCTGACCTCAAGTGATCTGCCCACCTCAGCCTCCCAAAGTGCTAGGATTACAGGTGTGAGCCACCATGTTCATCATAGCTCCATAGTTCTTTGTGCAGAGCTGAGCATATACAAGTGGGCTGAAATGAACAAGGGGAAACTGATCTTGTAGAGATATATGGCCCAGCCTCTCTACAAAATCTCTCAATCCTTAATATCCTAAAATGCATCAGCTGTGTCTTTTTCATAATGTGTAGTCCTAGGCATCAATTGCTCTTTCTTCAAGATGACTTTTTTAAAATAATATTTTCCCAATATTCCAAACACATTATCTATGAAAGGGAGAGAGAGAAAGAAAGAAAAGACAGAGGACACACACATATAGTGAAAATTAACCATTACATGTCATGGTCCCATGGTAACAATGTTAGCTCTTCCACATGCATGCTGAGACCTTCATGGGGAAATGCCAGTCCATCAGGAATAAAACACAAAGCATGCTTCCTTTGCTTCATTTTAACAACTATTTTATCTTGCATAAAACTTTTCTGAGAAGAAATTTTCCAAGTTCTCCTAATCAAAGTGTGGCAGGTTACCTTGGCTATTGTCAGCATCAGCTCTAATAACATGAACTACTTTCTGAAAATAAAGTAGGTAATGTCTTCCCAGTTCTAGTTGTTAGCACAAATACTCTCCCACAGATTTACAGGAAAATCAGCTTCCCAGGAGGATAGTTGAGAGACTCAGTGATTGTCCCTCAGGGAAACAGAGAGAGGCCTAACTCATCTCACTGGATTTGTCCAAAAGCAAAGTATTTAGAATTCAGGAAATCTTCAGAGGTTGGAATTAATTAAGCATGACATGAATAACTAGTAAAGTAAATGGTGTATCTGTTGATACTAACAATAGGTCAAAACTTATTAACAAGGACTGTTTATCAACAAGAATGTTACTGTGGGATATGGGTAGTGACAGGTCAGTTGTAACTAAGCAGGGTCAGAGATGGCCACCAGCTATAGCAAAACTGATTTTTTCCTGAAAGATGCCAATATGGAGTTAGAACAACTAATGGACCAGGTTATCCAGAAGATATACGAGCTCTACCACCCATGAAAAAAATGCAACATAAAACTGGGCAATACTGTAAATACACTCATAATTTACAAAAAAAAAAAAAAGTCATAAAAACCATAGTGGAAAAATACTGCCCATTTTGCTTTGTAACTTTTTTTTAGAATATCCCTTAAATTTTTCATTTGATTTTTAAAATGAAATAAATGCTATTAAGACGCTTATACTAAGTTCTTCTTCATGCCGAGCACATAAGACATTCAATAATTTTTAATGTTTACTAGTTGATCAGTTGCTGTTGAGGACAAGCAAAGTCTAGCTTCATACTAAATATTTTATGACTATTTTATTCTTATGTTATAAACTCAGGTGTATTGTAGCAGTCAGGGTTTTCTCCCATTGAATCAGGTGACATTTAAAATCAAAATGATTTAAAGGGCAGTTAGGAAGTCTTAATTTAATTAGGTCTTAGCATTTACTTAAGCAAATCTCTTTAACTGCTTGGGACTCCAATAGTTTTGTGGAACTGGGTTGATTCTGCCTGTTTTGTGTATATTACATGTATATTGTGAGACACTATATATGAAAGCCTGAAAAAGGTCAAAATACTATGAACACTGAATATCATCATCATCATCAAGGAAAATAAACACTGCAGTGCAAAACTAGTTTTTTTTAAAAAATATATCACTTCTCACACTTATTACTTCTGTGCTAGAAACCTAGCAGACACCTGAACCTACCTTACCCTGAAGACACATGGCCACCCATCCCTGACACTATCACCCAATACAACCCACACCAAGACCAAGCTATTGGTGCTTGTTACTATGTTTTTCACAAGAGCAGCATGAATGTTTCAAGTTTTTATCCTCTCTCCAAAATAAGCAATTGCATCATGTTGACTGGATATGACGCCCTGTTTCACATTTTTCAGAAACTATATTTTCTTGGGAGACTGTTAATTGGTGGCCTGCAGCTGACCACCAATAGAGCTACAAGTCCGTAACTGGAGGACTTAGTGCTGTAGTGAAGCATCCATTGAAGTGAGGGCACAAAGGCATGGCCCCCTTCATGGTAAAAGAAGAGTGAAGGTGGATGATAAATGAATGACCAAGGGGTCAACTTCTTGATTGAGTGCCTGTCCTGTGCCTAACGTGGAGGCTAGAATTGCAAGAAAAGACACAGTCCTGTTCAAGACTTATCCAGTCTAGTTGAGATGATGTGTATAAAACATATTTTTTTAAAAACACAAAATATAAGATTCTGTCCTCATGAGTGGAGTTGGATGGCAGAAAACACGTGCTAAAGGAGTTCAGAAAAGTAACCTGAAGATTTCAATGATGGGGGAAATACACACAGGAACTGAACTTGTGCTGTGCCTTACAAACACAGGTGGAATACCTGGATGTATGGAGGATAGAATGGGAAGTAAGGATGCTAGCCCATACCATGCAGATGGACTGCGTAGGGAATAGTGGGATAATGAAAGGTCTTGACATCTTGTCAAAGTTTAGACTCAGTGCAGCTAGAGGTGAAGACCCACTAGAGATTTTGATTTGGGAATAGCCTGACAATATCAAACAGCCAAAAATACAAAATAGCAATCAGTTTGGGGCTTTTCCCATGGGTACAGAGAATGGAGGGATTAATTCAGGTATGACAGACTACATATTTTCTATGGCCTCCAAAGCATACCCAGCATTTCTAATGCACAGCCCTCCACAATCAGTGCAGGTTTATGGGTGTCCAAGCCCCATTATAGGAAAGGGTTTATTCAAGAGCAAGTTTGTTGAAAAAAGGAAAGCTGTCAGTATTTAAAATAATAAATAGGGTGATGGTTAATTCCCAAATTAGGTACTCCTAAACTAGTGAAAATTTACAAAAATACCCCTGTTGAGAATTTAAGACAATTAATCCAGAGGATACAAATCTTTTCTGCTGTGAAAGGAACAATGGTTAAATGCACAGACTTCAGAGTCAGAACATCTAGGTTTGAATCCCAGCTCTGACACTTACTTGCTGTGTGACTTTGGATAAACTTATTAACCTTTCTGGGCCTTGGCCTCCCACTTATAAAATGAGCAACTTACTCATGGGTATAACTTATGGGTATGTTACAAGAATTAAAGAAATTAAGGAGAGCTCCACCAAGATGGCCAAATAGGAACAGCTCGGGAGTACAGCTCTCAGTGAGAGTGACGCAGAGGACAAGTGATCACTGCACGTCCAACCGAGGTACCAGGTGCATCTCAATGGGACTTGTTGGACAGTGAGTATAGCCCAAGGAGGGTAAGCCAAGGCAGGGTGCGGTGCTGCCTCACCTGAGAAGTGCAGCGGACCAGAGGACCCCGTGTCCTACCCAAGAGAGGCCATGGGGGCTTTTACAGCCACTCCAGCACTCTGGTTCAAATACTGCACTTCTCCCACAGCCTTTACAGCCCAGATACCAGGAGACTCCTGCTGGTGGACAAGTGCCTTGGGTTTCCAGCACAATAACCTGCACAAATCTGGGTAGCTTTTTAACTGGTGCCTGAAATGACTGCAAAACAGAGCCACACATTCCCCTGAAAAAGAGGGGGCTGAAGGCGGGGAGCCAGGTGATCTGGCTCAGTGAATCCCTCCCCAACAAGACCAACAATCTGAAACACACTGGCTTGAGAATATCACAGCCAGCACAGCAGTTTAAGCTTGACTCGGGCTGGTCAAGCTCCATGGGGAGGAGGGCATCCGCTATTACCGAGGCAGTCCGCCATTACCAAGACAGTTCTAACCTTACCTGTGTAAACAAAACCACAAGGATATTTACACAGCAGCTGGACAGAGCTCAGTGAATCCTCTGCAGGCAGACTGTAAGTAGACTCCTTCCTTGCTGGGCAGGCATCTCTGAAAAATGGCAGCAGCATGTCAGGAACTCAAATAAAACCCCACCTTCCTGGGAGAGAGCACCCGGGAAAAGAGGCAGTTGTGAGTTCCGCTGTAACAAACTTAAATGTTCCTGCCCAGCAGCTCTAAATGGAACAATGGCGCTCCCAGCATAGCACTTGAGCTCTAATAAGAGACAGACTGCCTTCTCAAGTGGCTCCCTGACCCCCATATATCCAAAAAGGCACCTCATAAAGGACAGCTCTGGCTGACATCTGGTGAGTACCTTCTGGGACAAAGATACCAGAAGAAGAAACAGGCAGCAACCCTTTCTATTCTGCAGCCCCCGTGGGTAATTCCCAGGAAAACAGGGTTAGGAGTGAACCTCCAGCAGTCCTGCAGCAGAGAGACCTGTTAGAAGGAAAACGTAAAAAACAGAAAGAAATAGCTGCAACAACAACAGAAAGGACGTCTACTCAGACCTCATCTGAAAGTCACCAACTTCAAAAACCAAAGGTAGATAAATCCACAAAGATGGGAAGAAACCAGCACAAAAAGGATGAAATCAGCAAAATCAAGAACACCTCTCCTCCTTCAAGGGGTCACAACTCCTCACCAGCAAGGGAACAAAACTGGAAAGAGAATGAGTTTGATGAATTGACAGAAGCAGACTTCAGAAGGTGGGTAATCACAAACTTCTCTGAGCTAAAGGAACATGTTCTAACCCAATGCAAAGAAACTAAGAACCTTAAAAAAAGGTGAGATGAAATACTAAGTAGAACAACTAGCTTAGATAAGAACATAATCGACTTGAGGGAGCTAAAAAACACAGCACAACAACTTCACGAAGCATAAACAAGATTCAATAGCTGAATCGATCAAGCAGAAGAAAGGATATCAGAGATTGAAGACCAACTCAATGAAATAAAACTAGAAGGCAAGATTAGAGGACAAAAGACTAAAAAGAAACGAATAAAGCCTCCAAGAAATATGGGATTATGTGAAAAGACCTAACCTACATTAAATCGGTGTACCTGAAGAGGGCAGGGAGAATTAATCCAAGCGGGAAAAAACTCTTCAGGATATTATCCAAAAGAACCTCCCCAACCTATCAAGGCAGGCCAACATTCAAGTCCAGGAAACACAGAGACTACCACCACAAAGATATTCCTCAGGAAGAGCAACCCCAAGGCACATAATGGTCAGATTCACCAGGGTTGGATGAAGGAATAAATGCTAAGAGCAACCAGAAACAATGGTTGGGTTACCCACAAAGAGAAGCCCATCAGACTCACAGTGAATCTCCCAGCAGAACCCCTAAAAGCCAGAAGAGAGTGGGGACCAATATTCAACATCCTTAAAGAAAAGAACTTTCAACCTAGAGTTTCATGTCCAGCCAAACTAAGCTTCATAAGTGAAGGAGAAATAAAATCCTTTACAAACAAGCAATTGCTGAGAGATTATGTCACCATCAGGCTTGCCTTGCAAGATCTCCTGAAGGAAGCACAAAACATGGAAAGGATCAACCAGTACCAGCCACTGCAAAAATGTACCAAATGGTAAAGACCATTGACACAATGAAGAAACCATGTCAACTAATGGGCAAAACAACCAGCTAGTATCAAAATGGCAGGATCAGAGTCACACAAAATAATATTAACCTTTAATATAAATGGGCTAAATGCCCCAATCAAAAGACACAGACTGGCAAATTGGATAAAAAGTGAAGATCCATCAGTATGCTGTATTCAGGAGACCCATTTCATCTGCAAAGACACACACAGGCTCAAAATAAAGGGATAGAGGAAGATTTACCAAGCAAATGGAGAGCAAAAAAAAAAAAAAAAAAAAAAAAAAAGAGCAGGTTTTCAATCCTAGTCTGATAAAATGGACTTTAAATCAACAAAGAAGACAAAGAAAGAGACAAAGAAGGGCATTACATAATGGTAAAAGGATCAATGCAAGAAGAGCTAACTCTCCTAAATATATACACATCCAATACAGGAGAACCCAGATACACAAATCAAGTTACTAACGACCTACAAAGAGACTTAGACTCCCACATAATAATAGTGGAAGACTTTAACACTCCACTGTCAATATTAGACAGATCAACAAGACAGAAGATTAACAAGGATATCCAGGACTTGAACTTAGATCTAGACCAAGTGGACCTAATAGACATCTACAGAACTCTCCACCCCAAATCCACAGAATATACATACTTCTCAACACCACGTCGCACTTACCCTAAAATTGACCACACAATTGGAAGCAAATCACTCCTCAGCAAATGCAAAAGAATAGAAATCCTAACAGTCTCTCAGACCACAGTGCAATCAAATTAGAACTCAGGATTAAGAAACACACTTAAAACTGCACAACTACATGGAAACTGAACAAACTGCTTTGGAATGACTACTGGATAAATAATGAAACGAAGGCAGTAATAAAGATGTTCTTTGAAACCAATGAGAACAAAGGCACAATGTACCAGAATCTCTGAGACACATTTAAAGCAGTATCTAGAGGGAAATTTATAGCACTAAATGCCCATATGAGAAGTGAGGAAAGATCTAAAATTAACACCCTATTATCATAATTAAAAAAGCTAGAGGAGCAAGATCAAACAAATTCAAAACCTAGCAGAAGACAAGAAATAACTAAGATAAGAGCAGAACTGAAGGAGATAGAGACACAAAAAAACATTTCAAAAAATCAATAAATCCAGGAGCTGGTTTTTTGAAAAGATCACCAAAATACATAGGCCACTAGCCAGACTAATACAAAAGAAAAGAGAGAATAATTGAATAGATGCAATAAAAAATGATAAAGGGGATATTGCCAGCAATTCCACAGAAATAAAAACTACTATCAGAGATTACTATAAACAACTCTGTGTACATAAACCAGTAAATCTAGAAGAAATGGATAAATTCCTGGACACTTACACCCTCTCAAGATTAACCAGGAAGAAGGTGAATCCCTGAATAGGCCAATAACAAGGTCTGAAGTACAGGCAGCAATTAATAGCCACCAACCAAGAAATGTCCAGGTCTAGATGGGTTCACAGCTGAATTCTACCAGACATACAAAGAGGAATTATTACCATTCCTTCTGAAATTATTCCAAACAATACAAAAAGAGGGAATCCACCATAACTCATTTTATGAGACCAACATCATCCTAATGTGAAAATCTGACAGAGATACAACTAAAAAAGAAAATTTTAGGCCAATATCCATGATGAACATCGATGCAAAAATCTTCAATAAAATACTGTCAAGCTGAATGAAACAGCACATCAAAAAGAGTATCAATCACAATCAAGTAGGATTCATCTTGGGGATGCAAGGCTGGTTCAACATACTCAAATCTATAAACGAAATCCATCACATAAACAGAACCAAAGACAAAAACCACATGGTTATCTCAATTGATGCACAGAAGGCCTTCAACAAAATTCAACAGACTTTTACGCTAAAAACTCTTAATAAACTGGGTATCTATGGAACATATCTCAAAATAATAAAAGCTATTTATGACAAACCCACAGCCAGTATCATACTGAGTTGACAAAAACTGGAAGCATTCCCTTTGAAAACTGGCACTAGACAAGTGTGCCCTCTCTCACCATTCCTATTCAACATAGTATTGGAAGTTCTAGCCAGAGTAATCAGGCAAGAAAAAGAAATAAAGGGTATTCATTTAGGAATAGAGGAAGTCAAATTGTCTCTATTTGCAGACAACATGATTGTATATTTTAGAAGACTCCATTGTCTCAGCCAAAACCTCCTTAAGATAATGAGCAACTTCAGCAAAGTCTCAGGATACAAAATCAATGTGCAATACTCACAAGCATTCCTATACACTGATAACAGAGAGCAAATCATGAGTGAGCTGCCATTCACAATTGCTACAAAGAGAATAAAATACCTAGGAATACAACTAACAAAGGATATGAAAGACCTCTTCAAGCAGAACTCCAAACCACTGCTCAAGGAAATAAAAACGGACACAGATGGAAAAACATACCATGCTCATGATTAGGAAGAATCAATGTCGTGAAAATGGCCATACTGCCTGAAATAATTTATAGATTCAGTGCTATTCCTATCAAACTACCATTGACCTTCTTCACAGAACTGGAAAAAAAAACACCTTAAACTTCATATGCAACCAAAAAAGAGCCTGCATAGCCAAGACAATCCTAAGCAAAAAGAACAAAACTGGAGGCATCATACTACCTGACTTAAAACTATACTACAAGGCTACAGTCATAAAAATAGCATAATACTGGCACCAAAACAGAGATATAAACCAATATAACAGAACAGAGACCTTGAAAGTAAAGCCACACATCTATAACCATCGGACCTTTGACAAACTGGACAAAAATAAGCAATGGGGAAAGGATTTCCTATTTAATAAATGTTGTTGGGAAAACTGGCTAGCTATATTCAGAAAGATGAAACTGGACCTTTTCCTTACACCTTATACACAAATTAACTCCAGATGAATTAAAAATTTAAACATAAGACCTAACATTATTAAAAACCCTAGAAGAAAAACCTAGGCAATACCATTCAGGGCATAGGCATAGGCAAGGACTTCATGACTAAAATACCGAAAGCAATGGCAACAAAACCAAAATAGACAAATGGGATCTAATTAAACTTAAGAGCTTCTGCACAGCAAAAGAAACCATCATTATAGTGAATCAGCAACCAACAGAATGGGAAAAAAATGTTTGCAAGCTACCCATCTGACAAAGGGCTAATATCCAGAATCTACAAAGAGCTAAAACAAATATACAAGAAAAAAAACAAACAACCCCATCAAAAAGTGGGCAAAAGATATGAACAGACACTTTTCAAAAGAAGACATTTATGTGGTCAACAAACATATGAAAAAATGCTCATAATCACTGGTCATTAGAGAAATGCAAATCAAAACCATATTGAGATATCATCTCATGCTAGTTAGAATGGTGATCCTTAAAAAACCTGGAGACAACAGATGCTGGAGAAGATGTGGAGAAACAGAAATGCTTTTACACTGTTGGTGGGAGTGTAAATTAGTTTAACCATTGTGGAAGACAGTGTGGCAATTCCTCAAGGATCTAGAAACAGAAACGTCATTTGACCCAGCAATCTCATTACTATATATATACACACCCAAAGGATTATAAATTAAGTCGTTTATAATACACATGCACACATATGTTCATTGAGGCACTGTTTACTTGGAACCAACCCAAATGCCCATCAAAAATAGACTGGATAAAAAAATGTGGCACATATACACCATGGAATACTATGCAGCCATAAAAAAGGATGAGTTCATGTCCTTTGCAGAGACATTGATGAAGCTGGAAACCATCATTCTCAGCAAACTGGCACAAGAACAGAAAACCAAACACCGCATATTCTCTTTCATAAGTGGATGTCGAATAATGAGAACACATGGACACAGGGAGGGGAACATCACGCACTTGGGTCTGTTGGGGGGTGGGGAGATAGAGGAGGGGTAGAAGAGGGTCAGGAGATTGGGGAGGGATAACATAGGAAGAAATACCTAATGTACGTAATGGGTGGATGGAGGCAGCAAACCACCATGGCATGTGTAAACCTTTGTAACAATCATGGAAGATCTGCACATATACCCCAGAACTTAAAAAAAAATAATAACGTAAAAGAGGGGGGAAATGAATTAAAGAATCGATATTTGTAAATCACTTAAAACACTAAGAGTTAAGGACATAGAATATGCTATTAAATGTTTGTTAATAATAAATAACAAACAATATAGAAGAAAGCAGAACTTCCCTAAGTATTAAGGTGGATCATAGGGATTTGTTTAATCCACTAAGAGATGTAAATATTTTAAGAATTCTAGAGAATTAATTATAGTAGTGTATCCCAACATGGATGGATTGGGGAAGTTATGCAGATTTGTATTTTCTGTTGTCACAACTGTGGAGTAAAGGTGTGGAGGAAGGAGGAGCTACTGTCATCTAGTGGGCAAAGACTAGGGATGCTTCTAAACATCCTATAATATACAGGATTGCACCCACATAATGAAGACTTACTTTGCCCAAAGTATCAATAGCATCAAGGTTCAGAAATCCTGGATTATATGTACTTGTTGCTGTTCATTGTGAACAAGAGATTCTCATGAAAAACATCATAGCAGAGTAAGAACAAAAAAAAATCCTGAATCTATCTTCTAATGCACTTCTCGTATTCTTTGTATTCCTCTGCTAACCCATTTTTGAACTCTGGTTACTGATTAAGGTTTTCCACTGTAGGCTTTAAATCAGAACAGAAGGAGTGAACATTGAGAAAGTGTTTTTTCATTTCAGTCCAGCACGATGAGCTAGCATCATCAATATGTTCATTTTTGTGCCAAATGGAGTGTGTTGCAGAGAAAGAACAAAAGCTCTTCCCTCAGGGATCATTCTCTTTGGTTGAAGAACCAAGAGCCACACCTAGGAAATTATTAGGAAGTCTCATATAAACTGTGTGTGACCAAGATTGAGAACACAATTTGAGACCACAAGTGCCCCAAATGGTCCTGGAAAGAAGAAATTGGCATACCTATAGATTATGTGAAGGCTTGGCAGACACTATCAAGTCTAAGTTAAGCTTGAGAGGTGAATAGGATTTCAGTGGATGAAGAAAAAGTATTCTTTTGATTAGTACTATGATAAGTGAAAGTGTGGTGGTGGGAATATTTGTGTGTCCAAAGACAGTGAGGCATTCTCTCTGGAAGGACTATTTCAGAGGCTGGAAGGAGAGTGGAGAGAAGCTTGGTGAGAATAGAAAATAAGTTTAAGAAAAGAGGGAGCTAGTGAAAGCATTTATTTTTCTCATTATGGGAAAATTTGTTCAAGTTCTTCATACATGAAAACAACAAAAAGGAAAAGGTGTTTAAAAAGGCTGGGCTGTATCAGCATGAAGGTAGACTTCAGCAAGGAAAGAACATGGATGAATCCCACTTCCTGCCCTTGCTATGAGGTGAGGAAAGGGGCCTTCTGCCCTGGAGTCCAACGCATAAAGCACAAGCTGCTAAATCAGTTGTGCTTCATGGGAAAGGTGTTGTTTAACCTAGCAACAGTTTAAAGTTTGTACACATTTGCATGCCGAGATGTGCTACCACACAGTGCCATTTACAAACACCACCACGAGCCCAGCCTTTAGCTTGGGGTGGGTATTCATGTTTACTTAGCTATGTGGGTTTCTTTTTTTCTTTTTTTTTTTTTTTGGTTGCTAAATTATACATGTAAATCAATATGTATCTTGAATTTACATACCAAATGCAAATGGTGTGACTGTCACTTTTTCTCCTGTTCCATATTTGTTCTCTGCAGAATGAATACCATATGCACCTTCACTGAATCACTCTGGGCCTTTGCCCTTCTTGCTTCTGAGAAAATAATCATGGATGAAATAGAAGAAAGATTTCCGCAGGGCATTCCAAACACACAAGCAGTGAGGCTTTACTGCACATACCCTAATAATAGAAGTTCAGAATCAGAATTGGACAGTTAACGTAAACTAAGGAAGCGTGGCCAGTACCAGACAATAGTGGGTGATGGTAGCTGCTGTGGCTGGAGAATGGAAGCTGACTGACAGATACTATGTTTAAAAAGAAAACTAAGCCTGCTGGGAAGTAGGGAACACACACTAGGCCAAAGAGCCTAAGAGCTACTCATTGGCTGCCATCGTCATGGGCAGGCGGCACTCAGAGTGCAGGTCAAAGGTCATAATTCTTCTGAGGGATCTTGGCCCTTGCCCCAGTGCCCTTGTCAAACATAAGCCCTTGTACTCCTAGGAGGTGACGAGCATTGATCTGTAGTCCCCAATTCCTCATAAGATGGTTCCCTCTTTTCTTGGCTGGTCTGCAATTCTTTGAGGGCCTAGGACTCTAGATGGTATCTCTGGGCAGGGCCCAGGACCTTTTCTTTCCCCTTCTAGCCTATGCACATGGACTTGCAGACAGCATGGCTCATTTGCCTTCCTGATTAGTCAGTTTAGTGTTTAGAACCCAAGCCCCAACCAGAAACCCTCTCTAGGAAATCCTGCTCCATCATTTATTTAAAAAAATCAAATAGACTCTTCGACATAAATTCCAGGAATATTTTGGAGCAGAAAAACAAATTAGTTTTCCCCTGGTGCCCTCTTCTAATTACAGCTCTAAAATTCTACCCTTATTTCTGACATTGTCTTTCTTCATGTGAAATAATTTCTACTATTAACTGCATAAAATTGGCAAGATTAATTCTGAGGGTTTAAAAGAAAAACCTAAGTTTGAGTTTGATCCTTTTCACCAAATCTCATTGAAATTTTTTTTTGCTAGTTCGGTACAGTTTCCCATTAAGAGCTATCAAATTCAATCAAGGTACTCAATTCTTATAGTTCAACTTTCCTGAAATTCAGCACTCTTCTCTCCTTCTCAAGGAACTTTGCTAATAAGATGCATAGAGTTGTCGTTCAACCTTAGTTACATCAAACGGATGCATTTCAGATCTTTCATATCTAAGACAGGAGCAGTAAGAACTTAATCATTTCCAAATGGAAACAAAGCTCTCCCATCATTGACAACCATGCTATGTCAGCCCCGCAGATTCCGTGGTCCCAACCAACTGGTGGAAAGAGCTCTACTCCTTTCCTTCTGACCTTTCCCCATTCCTCACCTACTGAAGGGCTTCTTTGGGAATCCAGTTGCATTTGAAGGGCAGTGGCTAATTTCAAAGACCAAAGCATTTCAGAATTCTCACCACTACCTTTAAAAATGAGAGTGAATGCTCAGAATACCTTAAAGTAACTTAATCTGTGCTTATTTACTTCCTCCATACCCACGTGCACATATATCATTCTTTTTGTGTATGCACCAGGAGAGAAAGCAAACCAATGTACACTGTAATGGAACCACTAATGAGCTGATGCTATCTACTGGCCTCTTTAAAATGCTGTTCCCTTCCTGTTTTGCATTTGTTGGGTTATAATTTTAAATTA